CCCGGCTAAAATAAACTGGATGGCCTACCTGCCTGTCAGCCTTCCATCTGTGCACACACTTATCTCGCGCCCTCATTGGTCATGTGCGCGTTCGTGTGTGTTGGAGGAAGGGGCTCTGTAAGGAAGGGGCAGATTTTTTCCGGCTGTGTATTTTCAAATTCTAGCGCACTCGAGCTGGTTTGTCTAAAATTACCCATCCCACCTTTAAGTTGGATTCAAACCAATTTAGAACTGTTGCCGAAAGTCCCACCCAGTTTCTAGTCGGTCTAGTATGTTGTGGGTCAACAGTGTCAAGTGTACTGCAGAATGAGCGGTTAGTGGCGTCGCCTGGCCTGGGCATCCGGGGCTTTAGCCCCAAATGTTTTTTCTGTAGCCCCGGACAATTCTCCGCTCAATAATATAATACATTAACCGTGCTTTACGTGAACCTCATCATGACACAAGAGAGGACGGCAGGACTGTAATTTCCCCGTGTCAGTGAATGCAACAGAGGTAAGACACCAGACCAATCAGAGAGTTGCATGGAAATAAACGTGCTTGTGTCATTCAAGCTCGGCTCTGTGTGTGTGTGGCAATAGTGCATTTAGTGTGATAGAGAGAGAGAGAGAGGGGGAGAGAGAGAGAGGGAGAGAGGGAGGGAGAGAGGGTGAGAGGGAGGAGAGAGAGAGAGAGAGAGAGAGAGACCGGTGCCAGCAGGGACCGTGTTGTTAGCATCTGGTTAGCTAGCTGCACTAACGGACATAAGGAGCTGTTTGTTCCACAACAAGCTGGAGGAGAGCTCTCCTCTCAGACTGAGAGGCTCAGGTGAGCTAAAGGACTCTCTGAGTGTTTAGATAGTTCACTTTAGTCTAAGTTATCTCAGTGGGTCTCAAACGGTTTGGTCAAAAATTATTCAAAAGATTATTTCCGCGGCACACCTTCATATGATCATTATCGTTATAAAACAAATAAGAAAATAAATGAAAAACAGTTATGAAATACTATATGGCAGTAAAACAAGAATAGAGTTTAAAATGGGAGTGATTTGTAAGAAAAAGTAAATCTGATTACAGTTGTGTTTCATCTGGGTGTTGAGAGATGTATCCATAGATCTCTTAATGTTGCTCTCAAAGTGCACCAGATTGATGCTTTTAACTTCAATATTTAAACAAAAATCTTCCCGGGGGAGCATCCCCCCGGACCCCCCTAGAAGAGGTGAGGTCCACCCCCCACTCATAAAAAATAGCATTTTACTCCCTGCCTATATGCCGTGAGCTGATTATCAAGCCTTCATTGTAACAGTTGCGGTTGTACTATGTGTGTGCGTGTGGAAGTGTTGCAGTAGAACATTCCACTTTAGCGCCGCCGCCACTGTGGGCTAAGCCCCGAATGTTTTCAGGTCCAGGCAACGCCCCTGATGAGCGGTGAAGCCACATAAAAGAAGCTCCGCCTCCAACAGTGAAGCCCACAAAGACGAGCATGCTGTCAGACATGAACACACACTGAGAGAGAAGTGTGTGTCTTTACCTGCAGCTGCTGCAGGACCTGCTCTCTGGGCTGGACCTGGTGTCTGCTGCAGCTCTGCTCGTACGCCTCCATCACCTCCGTCAGGGTGAGGCTGCTCTCAGCTGGAGTAGGAGAACACACTCAGTCACTGCATCCAGAGAGAGAGAGAACACTCAGTCACAGATCCAGAGAGAGTGGGGGGGAACAATCGTCACTGCATCCAGAGAGAGAGAACACTCAGTCACTGCATCCAGAGAGAGAGAGAACACTCAGTCACAGCATCCAGAGAGAGAGAGAACACACTCAGTCACTGCATCCAGAGAGAGAGAGAACACACTCAGTCACTGCATCCAGAGAGAGAGAGAACACTCAGTCACAGCATCCAGAGAGAGAGAGAACACACTCAGTCACTGCATCCAGAGAGAGAGAACACACTCAGTCACTGCATCCAGAGAGAGAAGAGAGGAACACTCAGTCACAGCATCCAGAGAGAGAGAGAACACACTCAGTCACTGCATCCAGAGAGAGAGAGAACACTCAGTCACTGCATCCAGAGAGAGAGAGAACACTCAGTCACTGCATCCAGAGAGAGAGAACACACTCAGTCACTGCATCCAGAGAGAGAGAGAACACTCAGTCACAGCATCCAGAGAGAGAGAGAACACTCAGTCACTGCATCCAGAGAGAGAGAGAACACTCAGTCACTGCATCCAGAGAGAGAACACACTCAGTCACTGCATCCAGAGAGAGAGAGAACACACTCAGTCACAGCATCCAGAGAGAGAGAGAACACACTCAGTCACAGCATCCAGAGAGAGAGAGAACACACTCAGTCACTGCATCCAGAGAGAGAGAGAACACACTCAGTCACAGCATCCAGAGAGAGAGAACACTCAGTCACTGCATCCAGAGAGAGAACACACTCAGTCACAGCATCCAGAGAGAGAGAGAACACACTCAGTCACAGCATCCAGAGAGAAAGGTAAACTGTACTGCACTGTGTGTGTGTGTGTGTGTGTGTGTGTGTGTGTGTGTGTGTGTGTGTGTGTGTGTGTGTGTGTGTGTTGTGTGTTGTGTGTGTGTACTGCAGGGAAGATGGCCGTCAGTGAGAAGTGAGAAGGACATGAGTGTCTGGCCGTTTCTCAATCTCAAGGATACTGGCTTGGTAGTCGCGTACTTCCAAGTCACTTCCTTCAGAAACGAAGCAAGTATACTTCCAAGCCACGGCTTCGGAAAACAAAGAAGAATGGAACAAGTGTGCCACTCTCTCTAACGGTTTCAACATAAACTGTACCAAAATAAATACCTCACGATGTCTATCTAATTATGAACTTGCTTTACTTTCACGGAACACATTTTTGGTGATAACAAACAAATGTAACAAAGTAACATATTTACCAACACATGTTCTACGCCACTACATACTTACATTTAAATGTGTGCTGCGTCGGTTCAGCCATTCTCCGCAAGAGTTTTTGAAATTGGTCCGTGCGCAAAGCATTGTGGGGATTTTAAGGACGCAAAGTCTACCCATGTGCGGCCTCGAAATTTCCCCCAAACCAAGGACGCGGCCTCGGTGGAATTCCAAGTATGCTGGAGATTGGAACAGTCCTTCGGCGGCACTCGATGACGTAGCATCCTTGAAATATCGGCTTGGAAGCCAAAATCCTCGAGATTGAGAAACGGCCTGCAGTCTGAACAATAAATCAACCAATCAGGCGTCTCAGTTGATCAAGCACAGCCTTATGGGAAATTCCAGATGTGAGAGACTACAGGAACCTTCATAACAGACACACTCACACTTTTTTATCATTTGTTTGTCCTTCAAAAGCTGGATCACATTTTAAAGGTTTTTAGATGATTTAAGGAATGCTAAATCAAATATAAATAAAGACCTGGACAGTGTTTTTAAAAGTGTGATTTCAGCTACTACATTCACAGCTATGGACATGATACACAACAGGATTGCACAATTTGAAAACTGCACAATTTGAAAAAAAATATCAAATTGGGATTAGGCTATTTATTGCACTAGCTGATTTTGATCAAATGTCAATTGATTGTGCAGCTCGAATTCAAAGTGTATTCAGGACAGAGTGGTTCTGGGACACGGTTAGCTCTAAACTTTTGGATAAACTGGCCCAATAAGATAGTTAACAACATGATACATATGACAGCTTTATATTCAATTTCAAGTGGTGATGAGGGTAAAGAGGTTATTCTAGCCTGATGGTTGCAAGAATGATTTTTGGAAAGCACACAACACATTTATAGCTGTGTTTAGGAGTTTGAATAAAAGCCAAATATATTGTAATGAATAGTGGTTCAGGTACCTTTAACTTATATGATATACAACTAAAACAAGCTATAATACCCAGTCGAAAGAAAAGCATCAATATAGTGAAAGTGTGGAGTGTGTTGTTTAATGTGAGAAATTCACCCAAAATATGCTACATTTCAGGAGCTAAAAGAGAGAAGTTGTTTAATTATACAGCAAATGAAGACATCTGAATGTTTGGGATTATTTAACTAATGGTATAAGTGAAAACGTTTTTAATTCATGGTGACTCAATGCAATGACCATAGTCTTCAAAATGACACATCGGGATAATGAATCAGCCTCAAACGTTTACTGGTATTCAAACAGCAGCTCACCCTCTCTGTCCCTGTGCTCAGCGAAGCCGGACACTATCTGTCCGTCGGGGGGGAAGGACACACGCTTCTCTCCTTTACTTCTCTTCTTCTGGTTCCTGGCTCTCTCTGCTCCGTCATCACTCTGCTCCTCGTTGTCGCTGCAGTGGTTCATCGCTCTGTTAAGGACTCCACCATGGGGGTCCAGATCCACTGAGCTCCTCCAGGAGAGACTGGAGTCACACTCATTTAGAGTGTGTGCAACAGCTGACGTACACACAGTTCCATCTGCCCTCTTGGAAGTGCTGCTCTCTCCACTCTGTGGTCACCTGGAAAGACAACACTGAAGAACGGATATCTTATTCATGAGGTGTGCACCGGGTTGCAAGTGAAACCCAATATGTTCATATCAAATTACACATTTCAAATAGGTGAGGCTCTGCACACTTCCAAAGTGAAATAAAAGTATTAGCATCAAAATAGAGTTCCAAAAGTAAAAGTAGTGTTGTGCAGATTGGTCCATTTCAGAATAATATATATGATATGTTTTATAATGATTGATCATGAAAGTGTTCTCAAAGCTGGTAAAGGTGCAGCTAGTCTGAATGGCTTTGTATACTGCAGGGTAGCTTGTGGATTTACTCCAGGTGGAACTAAAGTCTGATTTAACACTTGATTATATTTCACATCATCAACACAATACACATTTAGTGAAAATAACTTGAGCTGCAGTGTTTCTATACTGACTCTAACACTGACTTTGACTTGTATAGAAGTATGAAACTGTAAGCTAAAATAAAAGCTTCTTCTTCACCTGTGCAGTAAACATCTTCAAACGCTGGAATCACTGACGTAAGATACGCAGCGTACTCGGCCAACAGAATAGCAAAACGTGCTGACGTCACTTCCTGACCGGTAGACGGTAGTTTTGCGGGAAGTTTGGTCCTCGTTCAATACGCATTTACATCCTATACCTCCATGTTCATACGGCTTAACCTACAATAAACAACAAAGTCAAGGTGTGTATTCATCCCATCATTTCATAAATAGTGTTAGTGGTTGTTTGACTGACAGCGTCGCAGATATCGACGAACGTAATAAACGACATGAGAAGCGAGCGTGACAAGCTAATCAGATAGCCAGGTTAGCATGATAGCTAACGTTAACCGACACTGAAAACAATGTAACGTTATACCGTCCGCCCTCTAACGTTGTAAGGCTGTAAACGTAATTGTTCATGATGACGGGGGCTGTTATCTTTGCTTTACACATACTGACTGTGTCTGTACAGTAACACTTTGTTTACCAAACGTTAAAGCTGAAGACGACAGGAAGTGTTAAACTTACGGTTATCCGCTGGTAAACAGATGAACCGGACTTCATGTAGCACCGAATGTGAAACCCGCATATACATAACCTTTACACTTTGAAAACCTAAGCCCAACATACATTAGGTCATAAAGCATGGAGAATAGCAATGTTGGAAAGTAACTAAGTACATTTACTCAAGTATTGTAGTTGTTGACACATTTCTACTATAGTATTTCCATTGAATACAACTTTATACTTCTGCTCCACACATATAGGCAAATATCGTACTTTTTGCTCTACTACATTTATTTTAACACTCTCAAACTTTGCACATATAAAACAAACGATAAACTGATATGGTAAAATGCAGTACTGATCTGCACAGTATTTAAATCTGGTCCATATTGACAAACTACACCACTAAAAAGGTCTTACATGTAACAACAGAATATCATGATAACCATAATAATATAATACTGTGGAAAGATGTATCTTGCATGTACATTTCTATTACTTTTGATGCTTGAAGCATATTTGGCTGCTAATACTTTTTTACTTTGACTTAAATAACATTTTGTAATCGGGGATTTTACTTGTAGTGGAGTATTCTAAGACCATAGTATATGCACTTCTATTTAAGTAAAGGATGTAAGTACTTCTTCCAACACTTGCTGGGTGTGTGTGCTTTAGATGCCTCCTAAAAAGAAGGCGGCAGGGAAAGGCAGAGCTCCATCCAAGAGGCAGCTGGCGGAGGAGTTCCCCCCCGGAGAGGTCCTCACAGACACGGGGAAGAAGTCCTGGAAGCTGGGGGCTCCCATCGGCCAAGGGGGCTTTGGTCTCTTATATTTGGGTAAGAATAGATTGAATGCAGATAAAGCACCTCAAAAATCCAACATGCAATGCTGAAAGACATTTATAGGTCATGGGACTGCAGACGTGTTTTAAGACCAAGCGTAATCACTGAATTCAGATTAAGATGTGTAACTCTCAGACACTTTTTACTGACCAAGTTATAATCTGAAAAATGTGGCATTGCAGATGAATACAACTATAGAGATAGATAGGTACTTTATTGATCCATAACTGGGAAATGATTTAGTTAAAGCAGCAATGTATTCGGGCATTCAAATCTTAAAATGAAAGGTGGGAAAAAGGATAAACATAATGAGATAAAAGCAATGAAGAGCAGAAAGTCTATATGCACATGAACCATCAGAAGTGTTCCGTTCTCTTGTTCCCAGCTCATGAGAATTCTGCCAAGCCTGTGGGTGCTGATGCTCCGTATGTCATCAAAGTGGTGAGTCTCTAAACAACCTGAACAATAACTCAAATGTTTCATATGCACTTTGGATTTCACAATCAATTCAATGATCAATGATGGTCAATACCAATTCCAACTCTCACAACAAAACAAAACAATACATTCCATTAACTTTAAATGACACATTGTTTCTTAATAATCTGTCAAATAATTATATTTGATCATGGTGTTAATAATATCACATATACCATGATAGAGGATATTATCAATATGTACAATGACAGCAGCTTCCCTGTGTAGTGTTTAGTTTGAAGAAGAGTTAGACAACACACAGCTATTCCGCCTCCTTGCCTGCAGCAACAGTCCCTTGTATTGAAGAGATGCACTGATGTACGGCCTGTTTTCTCTCCTCGGCACATATGGTGATATGGGCCAATGGCATGAGTCGGTGATTCTTTTGAAGGACTTGGAACTGTTGATCGAACTGTAGGGATGGGTATCGTTAAGGTTTTAACGGTACTACTACTTTTATCGATACCGCTTATCGGTCCGGTCTTTTATCGGTTCTTTTGGAGAAAAAAATAAGGTAAACTAACTAAACACATTTTGAACAAAACTAACATTGCTTTTTATTTAAATTAAATGCATAATATTTCACATCAAAAGAAACAACAACGTTTAAAACAAATCATATTAAATAATGTGATGACAGAACTGTAAACAGAATAGCTGAAACTTTAACAAAATAAATAACTCTGTTACCTCATCATTAACCCATGTTTGTATAATGTAGTTAACTCCGTGTGTTGCTGCTAGCATACATAACACCTGACGTGGAAACGTTACTCGTGGATGGAGCTACAGAGCTGCTAGAAAGACAGTGGAACCCGGTGCATTCCTCCATGTGAATGTGGAGCACTTTTGATACATGTTTAGACAAATTGCTCGTGTTACCGCCCTTACATGCTAAACTCTTATTGCACTTTTGGTAACGAGCATTGTCCACATCGAGACGGGTAAAGTTTAACCACACCTCGGAGCGCGTTCTCTCCGCCATCTCCTCCGTGTGTGTGTGTTGCTGCATGTAGCAGCTGCGTGTGTGTAAACTGCCCCGCCCCCCTCGCAAGCAGGCGGGGGAGAGAGATCGAAAATACTAAAAATAATCATAGAAGCATTTTGCAGTCTTTTTGCGTATTAGAAACGGAGTTGGTGAAACTAAAACTGCAATATAATGTTTGTGTAGCAATAATACACATGATATATATGTTTTACATGTCTCCAGTACTGATAAAAAGGCCGCTAACGTCGGAGCTTAACGGTACCACGGTCTTTAATAATTCAGCCCCAGGGCCCGTTTAATACCGGGGCTCGGTACCCATCCCTATCGAACTGCACTTTTTTTTTTATGATGGACAAATTCTGAATGCGATCCATTTTTGTGGACAATGTACCACCATTTTAAAGTAATATAGAGGCCATCTACTCTCTGTGAAGAGGAAGAAGAGTGCATGCTGCAGGATTTCTTCCAGATAAAGATAGTTTTTATTCTGGATCAGTAGAGTAATCTATCACCAGAGAATCTTGCCAACTTCTGATCACTTCCCTGGAAAATGTTTTACATCTCCTAAACTTTGTCTGAATCAGTCTGCTGTGCCATCAGCTCTAAAGCCCCAGACACACCAAGCCGATTTTGGCCGTCGATGGGCGTCAGGCCGACGAAGAGCGTCGACACGCCCTACTCAGATTGGTGTGTCCCGCACCGTTGTGTCTTTTCGGCCGAAAACCCTGTCGGCCAAAGGCTGTCGGCAAAATAAATCACTCTGATTGGCTCTTCAGCTAGCGAATCAGTGCATGAGAAGCCAAACGGAAGTGAGGGACCCAAACAAATTATTAAGAAGGCAAATCTGAGATTTCATTTAACTCCAGGGCTGCAATCGAATAGTCCGTTTCTCTTAGACCTTCCTAATGGAGTGAAATGACCCGGAAGTCCCTCAGTGGCAGCCATGATAAGTGCCGTTCCAATTCTCTAGACGATAGGAAAGGAGGTTTCAAACTTCCTTTATAACCAGGGGTGCACATAACTTGTTTGCCCTGGTTCTCAAAGGAGCACCTGGAGATGTTGCTTGGTGCTCGTCCTTAAAATGAAATAAACCGTAACTTTTGAGGGGGTCTTGACTTTATTTGCCAGACACACGGCACTGAACACACATGCAGAGGTGAACACTGAACACACATGCAGAGGTGAACACAGAACACACATGCAGAGGTGAACACAGAACACACATGCAGAGGTGAACACAGAACACACATGCAGAGGTGAACACAGAACACACACACACATGCAGAGGTGAACACAGAACACACGTGCAGAGGTGAACACAGAACACACGTGCAGAGGTGAACACAGAACACACGTGCAGAGGTGAACACTGAACACACATGCAGAGGTGAACACAGAACGCACATGCAGAGGTGAACACTGAACACACATGCAGAGGTGAACACAGAACACACATGCAGAGGTGAACACAGAACACACATGCAGAGGTGAACACTGAACACACATGCAGAGGTGAACACTGAACACACATGCAGAGGTGAACACAGAACACACATGCAGAGGTGAACACAGAACACACATGCAGAGGTGAACACTGAACACACATGCAGAGGTGAACACAGAACACACATGCAGAGGTGAACACTGAACACACATGCAGAGGTGAACACAGAACACACATGCAGAGGTGAACACTGAACACACATGCAGAGGTGAACACAGAACACACATGCAGATGTGAACACAGAACATGCAGAGGTGAACACAGAACATGCAGAGGTGAACACAGAACACACATGCAGAGGTGAACACTGAACACACATGCAGAGGTGAACACAGAACACACGTGCAGAGGTGAACACAGAACACACATGTAGAGGTGAACACAGAACACACATGCAGAGGTGAACACAGAACACACGTGCAGAGGTGAACACAGAACACACACACAGAGGTGAACACTGAACACACATGCAGAGGTGAACACAGAACACACATGTAGAGGTGAACACAGAACACACATGTAGAGGTGAACACAGAACACACATGCAGAGGTGAACACAGAACACACATGCAGAGGTGAACACAGAACACACATGTAGAGGTGAACACAGAACACACATGTAGAGGTGAACACAGAACACACACACAGAGGTGAACACAGAACACACATGCAGAGGTGAACACAGAACACACATGTAGAGGTGAACACAGAACACACATGTAGAGGTGAACACAGAACACACATGCAGAGGTGAACACAGAACACACATGCAGAGGTGAACACAGAACACACATGTAGAGGTGAACACAGAACACACGTGCAGAGGTGAACACAGAACACACATGCAGAGGTGAACACTGAACACACATGCAGAGGTGAACACAGAACACACATGCAGAGGTGAACACAGAACACACATGTAGAGGTGAACACATAACACACATGCAGAGGTGAACACAGAACACACATGCAGAGGTGAACACAGAACACACGTGCAGAGGTGAACACAGAACACACATGCAGAGGTGAACACAGAACACACATGCAGAGGTGAGCGCTGAACACACATGCAGAGGTGAACACAGAACACACACACAGAGGTGAACACAAGACAACATTAGCACGACCAGTAATCCTACAAGCTGTCATCACTACCCTCCTGACTGTTCTCCTCACTGTCTTCCTCTCTGTCAGACATGGTAGCTGATGATGTAGGCCTACTACTTTCTCTCTGGTTGAGTCTGTGATTAGCTGCTTGCATCCACAAGTGAACAGCTGGTTTTGGGTCGAAAGTCTCTGTTGTCATTTTAGACAAGTGGATGTAATCAAATAAGGATGTGAACATAACCAATAACCTACCATAGCCAATAACAAATTAATGTAACTTATTTTATTTATGTTCATTCATATCTTATTTTACCTTAACATTTATTTATCTCTCCAGTTTTAAAGGATATTTTTGGTTACTGTCCTATAGTAGGCTATACATTGGAATGATTTAAAACCTGTTTATCCCAATAATTATAAAGCAGTGCCTTGGAAATATGTGTTTACATAAATTGTGACCAAACCGTTTGAACTTAGACTAAAGTGAACTATCTAAACACTTAGAGTCCTTTACCTCACTGAGCTGTAGTTATCAGCCTCTCAGTCTGACTGGAGAGGACTCTCCCTCCACATTATTGTAGAAACATCTTCTTCTTATATCCGTTAAAGCAGCTAGCACCAGATTCTAATAACAACAGCGCTGGTACCGGTGCACCCTCCCTCTCTCCCTCTCTCACTCGCATTTTGTCTGTGAGCTGCGGGCGCCAGATAAGCCAACATCCCCCATTTTCATCACTTACATCGCCCATCGTACAGGGCAAATGAAACGTGTAACCGGGGTGAAAAGGGTGTTACATTTACTTAATTATGAATATTGTTACATCAAGGCCGAAAATTAGGATGAGCCCCAACGGTCAAAATGTTTTTTTCCCTCCCAGAACTGCCAGCGCAGCGACTCCCCAGATCTGGCGCCCTAGGCGAACATCTAGCCAGTGCTACGGGCCGGCTCTGAGTTCATATCATGGTTCATATGCAACTCGCAAATATCTTTCTCTCTCTCTCTCTCTCTCTCTCTCTCTCTCCTCTATTTTCTATTTTCTCTTCTCCCTTCTCTCTCTCCCTCTCTCAATGTTGGTAGGCAAATGCGCTTTGTTTCAAATGACCCGGTGCTCTTTTTTTGGCGGAGGTGCGCTGTGTTTCTCTTTCTCCTCAACTTCCATGTGTGTTGATAACTGAGACTCTCGGCGTCCGTAGTGGCGAAGCAAATATCAAAGATCGTCTCTGCTGAGCGTTGACAAGATGAGGGGATTTTATATGAATGAATCGGTTTTTTACCGATGCAAAGACGCTACGCAATCAATGCATCGCAAGTTCAACCCGGTTCAACCCAAACTGTAGCCGATGTGCACTCTTTCAACCGGTGCACTCCCATCTTGAACGTTTATGCCGGTGCACCGATGCAAATCGGTGAATCTTAACATCCCTAATACACAGTGATAGATGTTAAGGACTAACGTTTATAATAAATACATCTGTATTGATTTTAAGATCTTTTCATCAATCATACGTATTTAGATCATTTGTATTAATGTGGACCGGAGGGAGAGGGGGACGAGCATAAGTTTCACTTTCCTTTTTTATTTCAATTCCAACTTTGGTCATGAAGAATATGTTTCTCTGTTGTCCACGTTCATAAAGCATAAAGCAACAGCATCAGAGCACGGTGCAGAGTCTCTAGATGAGTTTACAGTAGTCCCTCGTTCTTATTAAACATCCATGTTGTAGTCCGCTGTATAGAAAACTGTAGTTTCCATAGTTTCCCCACAGCAGCAGACGCACATTCAGGACGTCCGCTGGCGCATCATAAACACGTCGGATAGTGGAAGTGCATTCTATTCTCTAAAGTACCGCAGTCTCTCCTCCTAAGTCCTTTTGAATTCTCCTATCCACTATCCCTTAACCCCGTGACCTTTCACTCAGAGGTCAAGGAATAGACGATAGGGTTAGATGATAGGAGCTGATTGTTGGACTATTCGACTGCAACCCAGCTCTCGACTCAGGTTCGGGAAAGCCCCATGAGCTTCTCGCTGTAGAGTGAAAATGGAACGCACACGCTATTTGTTGTTTGTTTATATCACGCAGTCTGTTCTTCTTCTCTCGTGTGTCACGCAGTCTGTCTTCCGGTTGTTGCCTCTTTTGAATGACGAATACACACTACCGCCGCCTGCTGGTAATTTCCATTCGCGCATGCGCAGTTCGTACGTGCTTCTTGGCCGTCGGCTGAAGTCTTTGCGGTGTGTTCCAGTGCGACACATGGCCAAGACGCAGGAGACGTGAGGCGACACAACAGTCGGGGGTCCATCTGTGTCAGTTCTTTGGTGTCAGCTGGGTGAAGTCCGGGCCTTAAGAAAAACATTAAAACAGCCCGAGAATTTCTCTGTCCGAGCCAAAAGACACTAAATGTCATTTAGTGAAATGGCTAAAAACATTGGTATCGGAAGTGTGAATTTTTTATTAATTTAAACATCAGTTTTGGACTCGGCTTAGAAATGAGCAGTTGGTGCATCCCCAGTGTTAACATGCTGAATGGCAACTGATCAGTAATCTGGTTCTTTTGTCCACAGGAGCCCAGTGACAATGGACCACTGTTCTCGGAGCTCAAGTTCTACATGAGAGCTGCTAAACCTGACCGGAGTAAGCCAACTTACCATTCCTCACACACACCCTCAAACACACACACCTAGAAGTATGACATTAACTAAAGGTAGCCTTGTGATCATAACACAACTCTCCAGCACGGCAAACAAATAAAAGAAAGAAAGTTGTTTAATTAAAAAAGACAATCTCGTGTCTGAGGAAGGGAAGCTTTTGGTGGCAGTGCTGTTGGCCCCCAGGCCACAGCTTTGCATTTTATATAATAACAATCCAAATGTCAATCTCCCCTGACAATTAACTGTTATATTACTAAGGAACCAAAGCTCATATTTTATTCATGCTGGAATCTCACGTTGTTGGTAAATATTTGTCCCAGCAGCAGATTAGCTCGCGGCAGTGCTGCCCACCCCCCCCCCTCCATGGAATTATACTCTTATTACTTTAAGCATTACAGCCATCACCCAGTTACCCCAGCTCCAGTCAGCAGCATGCCGCATGAAACGGTAGCAACCCCACTGTCCTTGGTTGAGTGGGCTTTACACATACTTTCAGCACATTTCTCAAACAACATCTTGTCCTGCAGTTCAGAGCTGGGTGAAGTCTCACAAGCTGAACGTTCTGGGCGTTCCAAGGTACTGGGGCTCAGGTCTGCATGAGAGAGGAGGGAAAAGGTAAGCCATTTCTCAAGTGAAGTTTCACCTTTCACACTTTTAGTCTTCCATCGGACGCAAACAACTTCTGATCCAAGAGTTTGCTAGTATAAATGAACCTTATACGATACAAGATTTTGTTAAAATATAATCGGAATAACCTAACACAAGTACAAATTGTCTGCGACATGCAAAAAACGTCCATACTCTGGAGTATCGAAAAAAGAGTGAGCTGGTTACGTTTCTTTAGGATTTGAACAGCTTTTGGATTTACAGACAATCATGACACAACACAATGAATAAGGACACTTACTTATTTGAACTTGGCAATTTCACATCTAACCATAAAATGAATGATCAAAAATACCTGATCTTACAGCCCAGAATAAACTGAGCTACACCAACACTGTACTGCAGTGGGGCTTGTGTGACACCTCAGAAGCACTACAGACGTATTGTTTGTTCCTTCTAGGTACAGGTTCATGGTTATTGACCGGCTCGGCACAGACCTGCAGAAGAAGTTTGAAGAATGTGGGAGGAGGTTCCCAAGAAAACTGGTTCTACAGCTCGCTCTGCGTCTGGTTGGTGTTTTCATTTCACTTTCATGTTTTCCAGTGAGTGGCAAGAGTTGTGTCATTTTAACCAACGAGTTGTGAACAAATGCCAAATGGGTGCAAGAGCTGCGCCTAAAGAAAAGTTCTGTCCTATTCAGTTGATTTTGAATACTGAAAATGATATTTTTAGCTTCAAATGAATGTTCTAAAAAATAACCAAAGCTCTGCACTTGTATTTGTTTTGCACGTGTTTCTCTGTAGGGATGGGTCAAGTCTAAAATGATTAAAGATTTCAGTATTGATGAGCTCCCATGTTAGTGGCACTTTAATATCATTTATTATCACGCGGCAAAGGGACAATTGTTTTTTAAAGGTTGTTCTGACTAATGTAGATTCTGCTTCTTAACAGTTGATCAAGTGAATACGTTTAGATATTTGTGATATTTTCTTTCTTAAATATAGTGGGGTATTTAAATAAGGACGTATGTTTTAAAGGTCTGGGTGCCGTGTTGGCAGTCGGGCATTGTTTCTGATAGCAACGTTTCTGATAGGGCCGTGGGCGTAAAGCCAGCCTACATTTCAGATATTACGTCATATCGGACGCACATCTGGATCAGCTCCGTTGTTCCCCTGTTTTTAGAGATGTGGGTACGGAGGAAAAGAGAGAGGGTTTTATTTCCTGACGCTGCGTGAGACTCCTGACACACCGGCGGGGACGCATCTTTATGTATAAAAGACATCAAAAAGTGCATTCTGCATGTCCCCTTTAAAATAATTTGGTTAATACGTTATTAATGAATTAATAAGCCTGACTAATGACATGGATCACTTCTGCATTAACCCATGTTATTAAGATATTTGAATGCTAATATTAATGTTTATCCTTGTTTTTTTGACTCTTTCAGTTGGATATTCTGGAGTTCATCCATGACCATGAGTACGTTCATGCTGACATCAAGGCCTCCAACCTCATGTTGGGCCACAGTGATCCAGACCAGGTCAGTACAGCTTGAAGCATCCAAAGAATAAAATAAAACATTCTGTTTTAAAATGGTGCTTCTACAACCTTAAACTTTTCAGCACAAGCTCCTCTGACCCTGCGCTGCTCCTGAAGCAGCGAGGGGAGTGTGTTTTTGATCATCACACACACACGTGCTGCTTCATTAGATTCAATTAATCCTGCAGAGGGGGGAGGGAGGGTGTGTGTGTGTTCCAAACGGGGAGATTAGATGGCAGCAGCTAAGAGGTTTTCCTAACAAACACGGCAGGGGGAAATATTTAATTTGCAGATTAATAATGTATCATTGGTGGTGTTATTAAAAAGCTTTTTATAAATGACAATTTAAGAATGGGCCCCTCAGGATTGTATTATTAGGTGAGGTTTTTGTAGCTGTGATATTTGTATGTTTTCCCCTGGAGTTACTGGGATGTAGCTTTGTTCTTATTTTTGCAAGTTTCTTTATTAAAGCAATTAAAGACTAAATAATAATGCTTAGTTTATGTTGATGGAATAACAATTTGAATTTAAAAACGGGGGAATCATCTGCTCCCCATACTGTCAGTTAAAGTGCTGAGACATGGCAAATATGTTTTTATAAATAGAGAACAGGTTTAATCCTGTTGTTGGTGTGTGTTTGTCTTTCAGGTTTACTTGGTAGATTATGGGCTGGCATACAGGTATGCACCCGATAGTGTGATAAAAGAGTACAAGGAGGACCCCAAGAGATGTCACGACGGTACCATTGAGTTCACAAGCATCGACGCACACAAAGGAGCAAGTAGGTACATCACACTACGAGTAGATTCATAAAACCTCCCGTACGCTGCCAGGTCTTTACTCTGTGGTGGGGGGTAAACCTTTACAAAAAGAGGAAGGCCATACAGAAAAGTATTAGTGATTTGTCACTGGTCCCACTAATTACACAACAACAATCTAAAAGGTGGGATCTCAACCAAAAGAAAGTGAACATTTCTCATAAAACCAGAAATTGCAGTTTTTGTGATTGATCTAACTTCAAAGCAACCATGTCCTGACTCCAGCTTCATAGCTAACACATCGTGGTGCAGTGTTCATGTCTTTGTGTAGGCCGACCCAGAAGTTAGCATCAAGGGCTCCCTCAACAAAAAGGGTTGTGGCATATTGCAGAAAATAACATCTCTGTCAAACACGTTTTTCATCCACAAATGAACACCACTTTTTCAGACGTTGATGCAATCTCTTAAAGTAAAAAGCTAATGTTAGCCCATAAAGGAACTACATCACGGTCCCATGACTTCACTTCACAGATGCTAAACTAAAGGCGGCTAATGTTTAGTAGTCTAATTTATTCACTCTGTTTTTATGAGAGTATTTACTGACATGTTTTATGTCGGAGAACAAAACATTCAAATCTCTTCAGCTTGTGTTAACCTCAGACCTTTCAGGGTTGAACAAAAACAAATTCCAAAAAGCTTTCACTTACAGATGAGGGATCATTCCTACTCTGCTCTAGTTTCAGCATGTAATGCTGGTAATGCTGTTGCTGGCAGTAGGTGATGCTGCTGGTGTGGTTGTGTGTGTGCAGCTGCGTGCCGGCGCAGCGACCTGGAGATCCTGTGTTACTGCATGGTGCAGTGGCTGTGTGGACGCCTGCCCTGGGAGGACAAGCTGCAGGACCCGCTCTACGTCAGAGACTGCAAAATCAGGTGAGCGGCACATATCATCTCTGACACACAAGGTGGTCTTCACAAATCTGACCTCAGGTAAAGCTGGGGGTCCACTGAGAAACATCATGCTGCTTGCTTTTCTCTTACAGGAGTCAAGAAAACATCTCTGAATTTATGAACCAATGTTTCTCCTCTCAAGACAAGCCAGGTAAGAACACACACACATAGAGGAACAGTGGCCATGCAACTTCCTCATTAAGTAAGAGTTAAGACAAGTCTATTTGATTTTGACAGCCCAATATTATAAACGTGCTTCCACCAGAATGACTCCAGTGGGGTAGGGATCTGTGGATCTGTGATCCCCTGCTAACGATTTGGAATTGCTTTAAACAGACACCCCAAACTTATAATCACAATACATTTGAATGACAGTATATAAAGCTTCTTGCATCATCAAAATGGATTTGATTGATATGGTTATTTCCTAATAACAACAGGGTTCCTGCGATCCTTAAAGCCCTTAAGGGCATTTGATTAATTCATGTAAAATAAGGCCTTTTCTAAGCTCATCACAACAAAAGACTTCATTAACAAATTGCCTGGTGGATTATTCATAGGATAATTTCTATTGTCGAGGACAGCCCAACTATTTGGAGAGCATTTGAGCAAACTGCAAGATGGGAATCAAAGGCAGTGCAATGCCACCTGCAGAGTGAACACTAGAAACATGCCAATGTTACAGTAAACATTTGTGCAAAGTCACTGATGTGTTTTCTTTCTTTAATGTAGGTTGTTGTAAAGTTGGTCTTAAATTGAATTCCAAGAGGCATTAAGACATTTTAAACGTTATAAAAAGTCCTAAATCTAACAATCCTTAAGCTTTAGGAACCCTGTTATTCACACCTCGAATAGCCCTCTAAATCCAGACCTGATCGCTCCTCATTGAATAAAAGTCCTTAAACACACTGCAGTAATATTTATAGTCGAGACTGTAATAGGCGACTCTAACGCTTGATGTCTGGCTGTGTTGAGAGTTGCCTTTTTAATGTTGGCACTGTGACCTGCAGGAAGCGTGTAGTTCAGACAGAGGAGAGGAACACGGAGCGTCACACCTCCTTCCTTCTGCTGCGCCCAACACAAGCAAAGTGTTGTATACAACTCCATCTGTGACTGTGTGTCAAATCTGAGGAAAGTCACACCAAACACAAGCAGGCAGGACGCTGCGACCACAGCAGAAAGTCTTGGAACAGAGAGACAAGTCCAGTCGGTTATTGATGTAGTCCCTGTCACTAAACGTGGATCACAGCACAAAGAAACCCCTCCTGGAGCTAACTGGTACCACTGATCCTGGAGGGTCTCAGTGTGTGATGAGTTTCAATTATTTTGCCCTGATTTGTTTCAGAGGAGATCCAGAGGTTCATGGAGGAGGTGAAGTCTCTGGGATACCAAGACAAGCCTCCGTATGAGAAGCTGCGCTCCATACTGCAGGCCGGCCTCAAGTCCATCCGGGCTAAAGATGACGGCACACTCACGTTCCCTGCTGTCAGTGGAGCTGTGTCTCCTGCTGCCAAGGTCAGGACACACACAAACTACAGCTCCAGTCACTCCAGAGTCTTTCACTAAAATGACCAACTCACTGCAGGTCATTAGTAATGTTAGCGTGCATCAGTATGTGCAGTATTTATTTATGGACGAACAAACTGTAGACACACTGCACAGCTGCACTCACTAGCTATGACATTATAGCACCAGTGTTTCCCACAGATCTGAAATATACTTGGGCGGGTGGTGGCAGCGGGCGGTGGGGGGGGGGGGTGCGCAAAAAAAAAAAAAAAGTTTTCATTTTGTATAATCATTTTGCGTAAAAATGGCACTCAAGGGCACACTAGTGGTGGTGTTCCTGGCGGGATTTGAACTCACAGCCTTCCGATCTTCAGCCCACCTCACTATCCATTAGACCAATCACTACCCTCTCAAATGGAAATATGTGTTTACATAAATGGTGACCACACCGTTTGAGACCCACTGAGAACTTAAACTAAGTTAACTATCTAAACACTCAGAGAGTCCTTTACCTCACCTGAGCTGAGGTTATCCCGAGCTTGAATGACACACAGAGACCAATCAAGGGCTTTGATTTATGATCTGTATGACAGTGGCCATGTTGGCAGGCCACATCATGTAGACCAGAGGTGCCCAGTACGTCGACCGCGGGCGACCGGTCGACCGCGGGGGCAAAGCTGGTAGATCGCGAGTCGTTCATAAAAAAAAAAATCCTGTTCCGTTAAAATAGACTAAACAGGTTTTGAACCCTCCTCCCTTGGCCTCCCTGCCACTTAATTCAGGAGTTTACTTGATTGACAGAAAAAGCGACCTATCGCTTTCCAGTCTGTTAACCCAGAATGCAAAGCGATACAAAATCAGTCAAGTGCCGGGAAAACTCAAATTAAGTTAAAGAGACAAACAAGAGACAAACAACCAAATGAGTGCGGGACCGAGCAAGAAGCTAAAGACATACCACTTCCACCCAGAATGGGAGGAAGAATATTTTCTTGTGATGTCACATTCAAAGGTTATTTGCCTTATTTGTAAAGCAAGCGTCGCTCTGCCAAAGAAAGGTAACGTGGAGAGGCATTATCGGAGTGTTCACAAGGCATATGACAGCGACTTCCCTCCGAGTAGCGAGTTGAGAAAGAGAAAGGTCATGTATTATTGCTACACAAACATTATCTCGCAGTCTTAGTGTCGCCAACTCGTTTCTAACATGCAAAAAGACAAAGAAATGTCGGTGTATTTTCGACCTTTCCAATCCAGACGAGATCTCTCTCTCCCGTCTGTGCGCGAGGGGGCGGGGCAGTTTACACACACGCGGCTGCTACAAGCAGCAACACACGGAGGAGATGGCGGAGAGAAGCGCTCCAAGGTGTGGTTACATGTTACCCGTCTTGAGGTGGACAATGCTCCTTGCCAAGAGAGTTCAGCATGTGAGGGCGGTAACACGAGCAATGTGTCTAAACATTTATCAAAAGTGCTCCACATTCAGACGGAGGAATGCACCGGGTTCGACTGTCTTTCTAGTAGCCCTGTAGCCCCATCCACGAGTAACGTTTCCACGTCAGGTGTTATGTATGCTAGCAGCAACACACGCAGTTAACTCAATGATTCAAACATGGGTTAATGATTATAGGAAACTGAGTTACTCTTTATTTTGTTAAAGTTTCAGCTATTCTGTTCACAGTTCTGTCATCCGATTATTTAATACGATTTCTTAAAACATTGTTGTTTCTTTTGATGTGAAATATTATTTATTTAATTTAAATAAAAAGCAATGTTAGTTTTGTTCACAATTTGTTAATTTAATAATATATGTATTTTTGAATCAAGTATTCATCTTTATTGTCTTCATTGTTAGTTTCCACATGCCTAAAACAACCTCAAGCTAAATCTAAAAGTTGATGGCTAAATAAGAGGGTTTGAGAAATTGTGCAAGGCATACAGTAATAGTCTGAATAGTCGATTAGTCGTTTCATTAATCGATAGATTAATCGATTATCAAATTAGTCGTTTGTTGCAGCCCTATTATCCCATGTATAAATAAAACGTGTTATTCAGCAACCCTTGCAATTTGGGATTTTATTTTTGGTTGGTAGACCTCGGTGAGCTGGTCATTTCAAAAGTAGCTCACCAGCCCAAAAAGTGTGGGCACCCCTGATGTAGACAGCCAGTCACCCTGTGTGAGGCAGGCCACTTAACGAGGCGAGATCAGAGCAAGGGAGCGAGGGATCATTGTCCACAAGTTAATCGATCGCAGATGGCGTCGTGGTCACGGACGAATATAAAAATTTTTTTTTTTAAAAAAAAGGGTCGCGAAATATACTTGGGCGGCCGTTAATATACCTGGGCGGCCCGCCCAAGTATAGTCTATGTGTGGGAAACCCTGTAGCACACACATACTCATCATCATCAGTCACACATGCTCTCCTTTCTCCCCCTTTTTCCTTGCTGGCTAAAGTTACACACACTCACTCAGGAGTAATTTGCTACTTATATAACACATTGAAATAACCCAGAGGAGTAGCAATAAGAATGTAGCTGTGGACGTAGCAGTGCACTGTGCAATTTGGAACATTGACTGATAGTGGTGTTGAAATGAATCGTTTCTAAGATGCATCGCGATGCCGCAGTTGGACAATAAAGTTCTCTGGTTCAAAATAACTTCCTGGTAGCAACGTCACATTGAATTGTAAGAAAGCCGGGCTAGCGAGTCTTCCGGTGAGGCACAAGGCTGATGGCAACAAGATACTGAGCGCTGAACAAAATCCCCCCTTTTTTCATATTTATTGCAACTCATAGACAGTAATAACACAAATTTGAGCAAAGAAATGTCTTCAGCAAAGAAGGATAAGGCTCCGACTAAAAAACGATTCAGCCCCCCAGATATAGCTATGCTAATCAAGCAAGCTATCGCGGATGAGATGGAAACTGCAGGGAACAGTAGCAGACATGCTAAAGGGTTTAGTTTATTATTTTTTTTTTTTTTCGAGCATGTAAAACCAAAGAAAATACAAATGAAACAAAAGGTGAAACAGACATGATACAGTGCTATACAAATGAATGCAATAACAAAACGAAATATTTAATTAATAATTGAATAATCTGTAGTTGGGCTGTGCGATTATGGCAAAAATCATAATCACGATTATTTGGTCAATAATTGATATCACGATTATTTTGACGATTATTCATTGATCATTTATTGAACTTTAAAACAAATAATATTTTACCAATAAACAAGATCAATAAATGTGTTGGAGCGCACTTCCAAAACCATACTAAACATATATTAATATGATAAATAAAAATAAATTAGACCAAAATAAATGAAATCAAATATGTTGCAGTGCACTGTCACAACCTACTGAAAACTCCTTAACATATAGCCAACATTTTGGTAAAACATATTCAACATATTCCACTCAGTTAAACGTTGAAGGCTGGCCAACCGTCATGGTCCAGAAGTAACAGGAAATAAATGTTGAACTACAATTTAAGACCAAATAAAAATGTTTAGGCCACCATGGCAAATGCTGGTAGGGCTGCTCATGTCATCTCTTAAAGATTTGTTGCAAGAAATACCAGCCTGTTTACATGGTCTGGTTTCAGAGATGAGCGCAGGCAGGTGACAATATTGCCACCTGTACTGAAGACCCTCTCTGAAGAGGAACTTGTGGCAGTGCTGCCACATATGACACAGGAAAAAAAGAAAAGACTCTGAAGAACCCTTTCTTTGCCATTATATAAAAATAGTGTTGCTACAAAAGTATAAATTAGGCTTACTAATAAGACAACTCAGATCTGAAGCTACACAGGAATCTGCTGCAGCAACAGTGCAATAAAAAAGACAACATTAATAGAATCAAACCCATTTGTTGTTGCATTTTATTAGAGTATAAAAAGAAATGCCTTTAAAATAGGATGCAAGCAACACTAGTTTCTGAACTGATAAACTATAATCAATTTAAACAGAACAGATCTTAATGTTTGCATTCTTATACCATTTTGTACAATAATTATCATGAATAAATTCAAACAAACTAAAACTTACAGCAGATTAATAACGGTATCCAAATTGAGTTTTTATTATATCAAAAACCTGTTGAAATGCTGCTGTTATTTGTACTGTCCCACAAAAGCGCGTCGCAGCCTCCAGGAAAGCTTCTTTCATAACTTCGCCGTCTTCGAAAGACTTCATGTGTTTCGCAAGAACGTGACTGACACGATAAGATGCTCTGGTAGCAGCCTTGCTCTTGTTGTTGGACCTGGTGAAAATGGACTGCTGTGCATTTAGCTGTCCTTTCAGGCCCCTCCCCTTTTGGGAGCGTAGGGCAGAATTAGGAGGGAATTCCGTCTCGTAGCGTTTGTGCACTGTTTTGAAATGCCGCTCCTAAATTACCCTTCTTCGATAAAGCCACGCTCGCATTGCAGATGAGACAGATGGACTTTGAATTGGAATAGATACAAAAATAATGATCCTCCCACTTGGAGTGAAAATTATATATTTTGGGCTTTTTTGCTTCTGCCATAATTGCGGTCTTGTGTGTGTGCGGACTGTCACTCCTGTTGACCATCCATGCTGTTGACACGGACAACGTCAGCGAACTAGTGCACTGCTCACCAGCCACGCCCGGACACATGGGGTGAGGCCGGCCAATCACAAAGCTTTGATGCGTTCAAGTGCATTATTCTGGCACGGGAACATTATGTTACAGGACATTAACGATAAAACAGAATATTGTTGTTCTATTTTTAGACACATCTCACGATCGACTGGGAATCTCCCCGCGACCCTTCTTTTTAACTAGTTGCTGCTCTTGTTCTGAGATCTTCGCTTGCGCTGAACACTCACAACACATGTCACTCCCACGTGGCCGAGTGGGCTTTTAGGGAGGGACGAAAGCGCACCCAGCAAAATAATCGTATTTTGTCAATTATGCTGTTTTTCTAATCGTCGCAAGCCATAATCGTAATCGCGATTAAAATATGATTAATTGCACAGCCCTAATCTGTAGTAT